CTTTCTACACGACTGGCGTTGCATTGAATGAGGCTTCTTTTGCGCTGCATTGGGACAAAACTATGATAGTTGATATATTATCCTATCCACGTATTCTTCCTGTGTATGCTTCGTTCGAGGGAGCTATCCTCGCAGCGTGACAAGCAAATATCAACAAACGCCATTGCCTGAACAGATTTCATCTCTAGCGTGAAGGTTATGTTATGATGAGCCTGATTAAAACTGTCCTAAAACGTTGAGGGATTTTGTAAATTGTCAGTAACAAATAATATCATCAACCTAACGCATGTATAGGACACACTGTTCTGTACAGGTGGATAATGTCTCATTCTCCATCTTTGCCATTAAAATATCTACCGATAGGGGGCCTAATGGTGAGCCCATAAGGGTTCCATCAGGCAACCATTGACCTGAAATTGAACATTGAAAGTGCATCGCAGAAGAAGTTTCGTTAGGTGATTCACTGGAATTCCGACATTCATAAGTATATGCACACAAGTCGTTCGTTAAATCCCTTTCCCTCCAACGACCGTGTGTCTGAAGTGCCCCCACCTGAAATGTTAGAACTTCAGTCGAATATTCACACTCCGCAAGGGATGATCACCAATTATGCGTTTAGTGTTAAAACATCTTCCTCCCTGCTACTCAACCCCTCAGTTCCCGTTTGGCACATACTAAAACCCTGATTTCATCCAAAGGGCGTCTGACCCGATGAACTGGAAACCGGCCCCCAATGGATTGTGGTTTTCACGCATGTTTCGTTATGATGCGGGTCGGGCTTTGACTATACAAAGTCCTTGGTTGTGAATTTCCCAAGAAAATTCACTTGTCTTGGTCTGGNGACCGTGTGTCTGAAGTGCCCCCACCTGAAATGTTAGAACTTCAGTCGAATATTCACACTCCGCAAGGGATGATCACCAATTATGCGTTTAGTGTTAAAACATCTTCCTCCCTGCTACTCAACCCCTCAGTTCCCGTTTGGCACATACTAAAACCCTGATTTCACTGTTTCTTCGTGTTATTTTTCTGATTTCATTCATCTCGTTGGGTTTATTTGCTAATACACACTCACTGGGGTATTCACGTCATCGAATGCAGGCAACTGAATTATCGCACAGTGTTGGAAAAAGGGAGATGTATGAGATGCAATGTAAATTTTTCCCTGATCGATGAATTCTTCTGTCTGAACCACAGCAAGATAAAGAATAGTTCAAAGGAATTTGTAAGGTCACCTTTGTTTTCGATGATGTGAAAACATTCGTAGGGGTAGAAGAGTTCTCCAAATCGTTGGATAATTCTGATTTTATCTGGAATTATGCCTTCCTTATTTTTCGTTGATTTCAAGCTAAAAGCATGCAATTTAATTGATCATGTTACAATCTCCTGAGACATTTTAACGGTGGTTCTGGCTTCAATAGTGCTTCGCTCACCTTTTGGTCAGTCTAAAGAATCTTCTTTCTGGTATCGGGCTGCTCACAATAATTGGGAATAGTGACACATTCACACATTGGAAAAATCTCCGATTCCTTTGGAGTTCCCACCGTTGTTTGGAGTGAATCTCGTGGCTGTTCGACCGTTTGATCATCGCTCGGAAAGTGGCCATCATTAGAAATAAATGTTTTTGTTGTCTGTCGCTCATTGTTATCAGATTTGAACCACTGTGTCCGCCTTCTGTCATAGAAAATTATCTAGGATGTACGGATATTTAATAGCTTGTGTAGCATGTGACTATTCGGGCAACGGGTGATTCAAATTCTCCGGATCCATTCGTTTCTACCAGTTGTCCAAAATATGTACTTCCGATCTGCTGGGATGCAAACTCTCTGTACTACTCCTAGCCTACAGGGTGATATAAGACCAGCTTTATTATTGATCGTTGACGGTTTGAAACAATCTTAAGTGTAAACACGCTATAGAATTTTGCGGTCACACGCACGAGATTTCTACTGAGGTCAAATTTCTATGCATTCTTTTTGACTTCCTACTCTATGCGCGGTGTTTTCCGCGTATTCACAATGTAACTAGGTCATCAAAGCTCCAGACTGAAGTTGATCTGTGTGTGTGTTTGTGCGCATATTGCTCAAGTACTTTAATCAATGCTCTCGATGAATTTCAGTGCTGCTTGCTACTTTTTCCTGTTAGACAGCTGTGCCGGACACAAAGTCATACTCTGAGGTTCCCTGTATTTAAGTTTCCCTGTTTTTGTTCATTATATCGCTCTTCAGATAGGCTATATAAACTCATGGAAACTATAGAACCAGCTTCATACTTTAAATTTCTTGAGTTTTTTGATGTTCCACGATAGTTTGTTTTCTACTAGGTAAAGAATTCCATACCATACTGAGATATTTCAACCACGCTTTTTAATCTATCGCCCTATAGATCCCAAAACAAACAACAAGATTTGATACTGTTTCTCAAAACCAGCACCAAAATCCGTTATCACGGGAACCACCCGAGTTACTATTTCAGTTATTGCTATTCTGGGTTTAACCGTGTGTGGCCTGTAAAAGTCATAAACCTGAAGCGCAAGAATCGTCATTATTCCCCACTACCCCCATCCTGAAGTACGTCATCCTGCCTTGGTATTCGCTCTCTGTTGCGATTTGAATCAGCTTCATTGTCCCATGCCTCACTGTTCAGCCGGATAGAAGCTTGACAACGACTGCCGCCATTCGGACACTGACATCCACTTCGCATCGAGCGAGTGGAATAATCGGATAAGGTACAGTGCTGAGATTAGGCGACCGGGGTCATGCACTGACTTCTAGAAATCACCAGGTCTGAAATACGTACACATAATACTGGATGGATTTTCTCTGTTTGGGATGTTTGGGGAAGCAGACAGCCATGGGAGTGAGGTCAGTGGTGCTCAAACTAAACAGACATGAAGGTATAAAATCCCTAAAGAGAGAACTGGGTCCTATAGGTTGCGTGAGGACCTAGCGATCAGCCACATCAGTAGTTCGAGACACTGGGTGGTGGTGGCCCGATGGTAACGTCATCAAATTATCACCCCGGAGGACGAGTGTTCAAATTCCGTCACCGTCGCCTGATTTCCCATCTGTGTGTTGTATAGCAGGTCTTTAATTGTCCGCTTCCCCCTTCCGGAAAATTGTATCATTGCATATTCAATAAAAGGAAGTAAAAATGAAAAGAAAACAGAAAGAATTGTCGTTACCAGTGGCGCTCATGCATCTCGTTTTCTACTCACATCTGGTTTGTTCGCATTCTGTATGATATTCGCACTTGCATATCAACCAGTCGGTTTCAAAAGAAGCCCAGGTTAGAGTCATCTTCGGCTACAATGGTCAGATACACGACAATGACGAGCAAGCTTTTTGCTAATGTAAACAGATCAAGGCACACTATGCGATCCGTGCGCGGTGGAAAATTGATTTCCTCGAGCACACGTCTCGCCCCGTTGCATAGTTCGATGTTTTTCAGATCAGCAGCTGTTCAATGTCAATTAGAACCGATTTCATTCGCTCTGAACTCGACCGAGATCGGATTGTTTTCTCTCCCCATCACGAGAACTCATTGTTACGAATTTCGATTATCGCCTAAGTTGAAAAAGTATTTTAATTTTTTTCAACATTTAAATCTGAATCTTGTGGAACAGTTTTGGCAGTCAAACACTCAGCGCTACTGTGATGGTAGCGCAGAACACATGACTGCAATTTTATAATTCCACACGAGACTTCTTATCGATTTCCAATCACTAGAGTAGCATATGCGAACGGACTGGTGAGACTTGATTGAAGAAACTAGGCTTTATGTCACGTGTGTACGAGACTAAGAGATGCCTGGTCGCATTCTCGTTTGTAGTTTGTCATTGTGACAACCGCATTCCACCGAATACCAGTTTCTAGGTGAGACTTTCCTAACTCTGTTGTACTGTTTTCGATTTTATTTTTAATCATTGTTTTTGAGCCTGAGGTGTTGATATGATATCACTGATTGGTGATGGAGGTATTTTCCGGTCAATTTTTTTTAGATACTGGGCTCCTGGCACTCCTAACGATCTGTGTTTACTAGGGCCTGTGGTATTGTATCTGTCATTCCATGTAGTCCTCTTTTTTCCGGGGCCTCACTCACCGGTTGATTCATCACACTTGCCAGATGTAAACTTTATGGAAACAAAAGGCATGGCTTTTTCCGTTATTTTCTCTAAGTGACGAAAAGAATTTTTTCACACCGGTTAGAGGACAAACATGGTTTCCTCATTGCTCACTCGATGTTCCCACAAGTACTGCTTCGAATTCATCGGTGGTCGAATACAGAAAGTCGATTAGCGTCTTCAACGCAGAGGTGCCAGGTATTACAAACGCCATACAGAGCACGAGGAACCGCGGTGATGTAAACCCTTCTCTTAGGGGACAGTCGGATGTCATGGCGGCGCCACGGATATCATAGGTTGACAAAAGCTGCTCAAGTTTTCACTATTCGTGACGTGATCTCCTACCCACACCACCTCCAGCTGTGATTAAGCTCCCGAGGTACTTAAAGCTCTCGCCTAAGTCGATCTGATCGCTGGAAAGAGTGAGCGCAGTCACAGGCTCCTGCCAGTCAAGTACTTTGCACTTGGATGGAGCAAAGCACATACCGCACCTGGATACCTCAGTCGCCATGTAGTTTAAAGTGCATTGGACTGCCTGTGCATTATCGCCCAACAAAGCGATGTCATCGGTACGTTCTAGGTCAAGAACTCTGTTCCATAGGAGGAGTTCGACCCCACCGTTTGCTAGACCGGAAAAAGCGTCCTTTGGAATATCGTCTATGAAAAAGTTGAAAAGTAATGGTGATATAGGGCAGTTTTGTCGCACTCCAATGGAGACCGAAAAGGGTGGCGAAAACTGGCCATAGATAATAGCCCGATTTGAGGTATGAAGGTACAACTCATTGAGAATCGACACATTTCTCAGGTTCCATAGTGCGATCCTATCGATGGAATCGAAGGCCGCGCGAATGTTCAATAACTCAATGATCGGTTTTCTGTGATGGGCATGACGGGGCTCTATCAGCTGTCGGAGGGCGGAGATTCGGTCGATGCATCCACGACCGGTGCGAAACCCAGTCTACTCACGAGCATACTCCCCACGCGTCTTGTGCAATCTCCGAAGAATAACGGACGCTGGTAGCTTCGACGCCATCGAAATGGAGCTCATACCCCCGTGGTTGGCACAAACACTGCGCGGGTCCTTTTAAAAGAAGGCGACGACAATCGATCCCCCCACGAGGAGGAGATCTGCTCAGTAATTCAGACTTTAGTGAACGGAACTTGTAGTTCTCTAACAAGCTTCACTCCACCAGCTTTGAATAAACCTGACTGATGTGATCAGATAGAATTGATTCTAGCTTTTTTCTAGCGCTTTCTGAAAGACATGCTGGCTGGGACAGCTTATCGCAGTCTAACCTTCGCTGCGTCGTGCGGTTAGAGTGCCCACCGAAGCACATGGACAGCTTGGCGCGAACTAACGCGTGTTCGGATGCGAGGTGAGTGCTCCATTACGATCCGCAGTCTTGTATGCAACTTCACCCTCTGCGGCTTGGTCGATCTGCGTCCGTCGCCGACTCAAGGAAGACGGACACCAAGTGGTGTACCGGCAGTTTGATCGTCTGAAGTTCGTACTGGTGAGGAATATTCGGTGATCGGAACATAGAGCCAACTGCTGTTCCTAGATTTGCGAGCGTTAAAACTCTAGTCCGAAAGGACCCCTCAGGTGCGCCTCACTCGAAGTCAGCCGACCTACTCTAGCATTTATATCTCCTGCTACAATCGCGATTTCAGCCCGATTACCTTTACGCACGAGGTTTTGTTGCTTTCGAAAATAATCCTGCTGTTTATGCGCTAATGATAAAGATACTGGAATACATTAGGGCATAATTGTGATACGCTCAAACAACCACTCACTGGACTAAAATAATAATGTCCGACACTTAACGAAGAGTATTCCCCGCACCTATCGGTAACTCTGGAATGATAGCTAGTGCACAAAGGAAATGGAGCCATTCTCAAAATAAACGTAATCGCATTACTCCTAGATTGGATTATCTATTGGTAACTTGCCGATTGGAATTAATGAGTGATTTTGCTACCGACTCGATGGGTAGCCAAAAGACCGCAACCAAAACCGGCGCACAAAAGTACATGGGTAATGGTTGTTCAAACTGAGACCAATTCGATGAGTTTTCTCTGTATACGATGATCGGTCATGTTTCGAGTTAGTTTTTCATCGGTAGATTCTCAGCATTTTCTAGAGTGTATGGTTTACAACAGGGGTTTTAGCAGACACTTCACGGGGTTATTTCTTGGGGGGGGGGGAGACAAGACCTTATCTCCTCACTGTTGGTGAGACTCGATTCTCATCAATCCATCACGTGTTTGTATTCTGTATGGACGTCGCAGCTTCCTGTTGCACATCTATGGGAATTTGGCGGTAAATAGCACTGGAACAAGTTTTATTCAAATTTTTAAATAATTGTTTCGGAACATTATCTAAACAGCAACAAGAAGATCGGACATTTCAATTCAGGACTCTATTCTGGAAATTTGTGAATTACTCGTTCTAAAAATCTTATTCTTGGGTCGAATATCTTTCACACACGCCAACTTTCGTTTCATTTTTGTCGGATGATCCGGCATATTCGTCCAGTTCTCCGGCTCCAGAATGAAAATCGACTGGACCCCACCGATTTCGTTTGGTGATGTGAAGGACGTTCTAAAATACAAGCGTACAGAGACAAGTCGTCATCACCCATCCGCCAAATTCTTTGTTTTTTTATAAAAAAATGAATACAACCTTTCACGTTAATATTAACGAGCTGTAAAACTTCAAATTGCATTTTTTACTTGTTTACGGAGTCATTGTCTCCGTCACATTTTCTACTTTCTGCTCTGTAAGTAAATTCCATGCACAACTTTGGTGCGGATTTTCGTCTTTGCTGTGCAGTCCAAATCGCACGGCTAACCGGAATCTCCTCTTACTCACTCACTTCTTGTTTCTTTGTTCTTTACACTTCTTGAGATCAACGTCTCCATATCTTGCATCTATGTGGTGTTGCCTTGTCTGGCAGGGAAAACCTAAATTAGGACAAAAGTAACAAACTTACGCAAGGTTTACTTGCGCGTAAGTCACTCTGCGCCATTTCTCGGACCACTTCCATTGACCTCTGTTGTCGCAGTGTTCTTGATATCGGCAACCAGTTCCTTGGAGCGATGCGATACCAATTATACGCGTTCACTGTTGATATCAATGGAGCAACCGAGACGAAACCGTAAAAACTTTCCGTGGATTGCAATTTGCCACCTTTCAAATTGTTTTGATACTGGCCTCTTTTTGCTTCATCATGTGAACTGTCTTTCTTCCTAAATGGGTTAGATATGTGATTCACTTCGCAGAACCTCTATACTTGTGCGAATAGATAACCTTCTCTTTTAACGTCGTGTCTGGTATCTCTGTATTATTGACTGTCGAGTTCAATTGTCGCAGTGTGAAAGTTAAAATAAATCTAAACAAGCGGACCTTGCATCCTTTCTATCAGCTGAAGATCTAATAATGCATTTGTGATAATCACCATCGTAGGTATCAACATCTGCCCCAAACAACCGTGTTCACACACAGGCTTCCTCAAGTGCGACGTTCCATACCTGTCGCAAAAGAAAGGTTTACCACCTATCTTCATTCCGGGACGCATTGACGATTTCTGTTAGCTATACCTCACTCAAAGATTTTTAAGGAATTCGAATTGCCTAATCTATATGGACCAAAACAATTAGTTCACTTCGAGGGGGTAATCATTCCTTCGGAGTAAAATCTATGGAAAACCACTGTTTCGCATCCCGTTAGGCTGTCTGGCGACTAAACCGTTGATCGACGATCGAAAGTTACATTTCACGAAAGAACTCCTATGATTAGTCACTTTCGCTTTGTTCTGTAATGGAATTTCATAAAGAAACTTGCGATTCTGAAGTAGTTTAGGGAGGAGGAGGGGTATACTAGATTTAGTACTCTAAATGAAGTTAAGTCTTGTCAGACTGTGTTTTAAGTTGGTCGAATGATAGTGCGAAAATGAGACATTAGGTACATCGTTCTCCACTTTATTTGAATAGGACTTCGATAATTATTTATACGCTACTTGCAATGAATTTTGTCGAACTCAAGCAAATTGTACGTCAAGGGTATTCCGGCTTCTGACAATTTGTATGGTTCAAAGTTAATCAATCAAAGGAAAACGTTTACGACATAAGATGTGCGTTACATGACCGTCCCGCAACGTATCGGAAGCATAGAGGAGGCCTTGTGACTTATATCAATAAAAATTGGTGCAAGAATTCGAAACAAACATTCGCTCGCTTTACATTACATTACATTACGTTACATTTGTACCTCCGTACACAAATGCAAGCGTAGGCGCCTGAGAAACTGTCGGTCGATTGTCTTAGCAAAATTTTATATTTCCCTTTCTTGTCCTTCAGAGGAACCTCTACTATTCAGATATTTTCTCCCGTAGCCTTAATGACCTATCTTGCCATGAATCATCTGTAGTGACTTCAGTCATGTGGACATCAACTTCTTGACTGTTCTTGGTTTGACAAACATAGTGATATTCCTAACAAAGCTAAATGCTAGTTTGGGCATGTTTCGTCAATTATGTCAGCCTTTTTTCGTATCCGTTCACTCCCCTTTTGGGTCTTCCAACCATACCCTTGTTTCTCCAATAGTGAACAGCAAATTCGATCACATAGCTTTTACCGAAACAGCGACATCAAAAGATGGAAACGTCAGTGTAATCCAGAGAACCTGCAGAAACTCAATGGCATGGTCTCAGACAGACTTTAGTGTGTTCCATCATCCTAATCATTCCATCTATTGCGATCACCTAACACAGTATCTAAATGTTTACTACGACATATGCTGCTGCTGTGATCGTATCTCATCTCCTTATCTGAAACAGTTATGCCTAATTAAGGAAAGGGCTCAAGAAGGACTTGAAGTTGCTTTCCAGATCTAGAAGCAGCGGAAATTACCATGAAATTATCTGTCACTTCATCGTTTCACAACATACAAAGTCATGTCTTCCGTTATCCCTATCTTACAAAGTGTGTCCTCTTCCTCCATCTGATCCCACTATAACTCTATTTGCTCGGACAATCGCCTACTGGTCTTCTGTGGTGCCTCATCTGACCCGATTTCTCGGTAATCTGGAGCGTATCGCTTCTAAACTAAACTCACCCATAATACTGATTGTTTTGTTTTGAAGTATATACTTAATTTAATTATATCATTCAGTTTGTTTAATATCCACGTATCAGTGTTCGTGCTTTCTGATGTGGATTGAAAAGCCCAAGGTCTGACTTTCGGTAATTTCGCAATCGACTCACCATTGTCAGTCGACATTTGTCACTATCAGCGTGTCCCGTAATGTGTTCACATGAGAACAATATTTGTTTTTTAATGCCCTCCGTTACGGAGAATTGAATTCCTGTGTAATTTTGAATGCGAACGACATTTTAGCCCATTGACCAGCACACTTATCCGCCTGTTGTACTAACGATCAGTCAGTCAATTGATCGCAGCACGTATATCGTTTTTTGGAGGGATCAGCAAGCAATGATGCACTTATTCCACATGATAGTCAGCCTATGCTGTCTAGACTCACGTGGTCTGACATGCCTGTTCGATACAGCCAATCACTTAACCAGTGCGGAATCTGATTTCCTGTGTCTGGCTTGCATTATCTGTTTGTTTCACAGTCGTGTGCAGAAAAGCTTTCGGACGGCCGATCGTATGTTTGGGTCCTCGGTTCATATGTGCGTCCAGATGCAATTCATACGCCCTATTTATTGATCCGTGTTCAAACTTTTCGTACGCTCTTTTGGTGATTCATCACGGACAAAATCATCTGTGTATCAGTGAGCTGTACCGCTTTATTCGCCTTTTTGGTTGTATTTCACAAATTGTTTCCTCTTTTTTCTCGTTTTAATACTCCAGTTTCACTGATCCTAATTCCTCCCCGATGTCTGCCGAACGTGATCGGTCGTCTGACAGACATCTGAGAAATCCAAATGCACTTGATAGTCGGTTGGCCACGGATTCGACATATGTAGATCATGCTCCGTTGGTCTCCCATATGAATCACGGGGACCAGGAAGAAACAGTCACAGACAACACGCCTGCGACTGTGGATCCACTCACTGCCGAGTACGTTGCTGCCAGTTTTGAGCTACACCAGCGTAGAACGGCTCGACGTCTCCGACGCGCACGTGTTCGTGAGCGTATCGAGGCGATTCAAAAACAGATTCAAGCGACCGATTTGGAACGAACACGCTGGTTTCCGGCCCCCGTTTCTCATTTCATGCGTCGTTTTTTCGTCGAGAGTGGGTACTTCCGGAACCCGATGGAGGCTGCCCTCGGGGCTTCCATTTTTCTGCTACTCAGTATCGGAGTCAGTATGGCGCTCTATTCCCGCTGGTTTGGGACCTCGCCAGTGCGTGATTGACCCGTTTGAGGCTCCCATGGCACTATCACTTCCTTCTGCGACCCGATTAATGTCTAACCAATGCTGCGACAGCAGTCTCAAACTTTTCAGTAGTTGAAATTTTTATCCTGTTTTCACGATTTCCGAACGTGTGCATTTAGCGTTTGGCTTTAATGCTCACAATTCGAACTCATAACCACCAACACGGTGTATCCCACCTCATCTGATATGCTTCCACTCTTCTTGTCTCGCTGCTATTTGTTCATTCGATATAGGGCAAATTGCATTTTCACTACCCAAGGGTCGTCTGAATGCGAGAATGTTTCTCTATTTAGATGCAACTTTTCTCTTTTTCTTCTATTCTTTTTTAATGTTTGAAAATTTCTCAGTTGTAAAAAGAAAACGACAACTGCAACGACCAGGGCATGCATCATACAATGAATTCTGTACAGATTTGTTTCTCAGCGTCTCATGTTTGCTACTCATCTATACGAACAAGTAAAGCGAACTCTGCCCTGTGTTCTGTGATAATACTGTGTTGTGTCTCGTCATATACATGTATATGAATCAGTAAAAAATAACAAATATGCATGATACTCGGAACAGTTTCGCGTCATTTTGTACAACGTTAAAGGTCACATTTTCTGTCTTGTTAATGTGAGGGTGGAGTTCTAGGTCCAGGTTAGGTGATTTATGGCCGGATTACATCCCGGAGCAATATCGTTTCACAAAAAAAGAACAGAAAAGATCTATGTTCCTGGGGACAAAATAAGTGTTTCCACGTCACCTGTTACCCATTTATCTGTTTGGTATGGATTTTATCACTAGCTGAGCGGTACTTCTGTGCTCACTGGTTTGAGATATTGAATCGTTAAAAAAATCTAGTTTGCTCTTCTGACGCATAGCACAAAACGGATCACCAATTGGGTCCCGTGAGGCGAAGGCAAGCCCGAGGTGATTTGAAATAAGACTAAACCCCAGAGCGAAACACAGAATTTAGGTTGTTTAAAAGTAGAAAACTTCTCAATTTGTTTGATATCTGGTAAGCGTATTCTATCTGAACTAACGCCGAACAACGGTCAGTGGTTGAATGCGGTTATCTGAAAGTTGTTCTATCATTTATACTGTGCACTGTACGATCATAAAGCAGGATCTCCTGTGGTGGAGTTAGGCGTGACCCATTAAATGTTATCAATTAATAACTGGTGCCGATAAAAAGCTGTCGCACGTTATCGAAGACCATTGAGCTACAAAACTCCAAGTTTCACATCCAGGTTACTAGTATAACTATAATTGGAAGACAAGGTCAAAGTTTTATTATGGGTGATTTAACAAAGCTAAAGCTTATCATGCCCCATAGGATTTTTACAGAATATTTTGAATAACTTCACAAAGAGAAAATAATAATAACAATGTGCATGATCACTCACGGATGTCGAAATTTTAAGTGTTCCAATGCTTTATCATGTTGCGATTTAAATAGTTCAATTGTAAGAGCGCACACTACATCAGATGGAAGAGAATTCCATGCGCCGCGAATTCTCACTGCAAACGAGTGATGCCGGCAATCAAGGTGTCTGTTCTGGGTCTTCACCATTAGTGGATGTCCCCTGAGGTGATCATTATGGGATAAGGTCAGCATAGAACGGTAAGGGTGATTGGGTTGATGCAGTAAGTGACATGCCAAGATTAGGCCCCCCCCCCCCCCNCCCGAAGTTGGCGATATTGAGATGAGTAGAGTCCCAATATTTGCAGTCTTTCGGAGTGTCATTTTATACAGATCTTTTACCAATTTCGTTGCCAGTCTTTGCGGACGTTCTAGAGCCTTCTTGTCGCGATTTAACCATGGATTCCATACTTGAACGGCGTACTCCGTGTGTGGCCGAACGAACGCTGATAGCAAGCGTGGGAACAGTGCTCTTTTGAACTGTCCGAAAGCACGTTTGAGTAGTCCAACTTGCTTCAGAGGCATAGATTATACTCTGGCACAGTGCGTGGAACATCCTACGTCCTCGTGTACCATAACTCCCAAATCCCTTTCATCAGTGGCATGCGGTAGTATTTGGTTCCCCAGAACATAGGAGTAACGAGTCTTATGCCGCATAGAAGTAACTGCATTTGGAAACGTTGAAATCGATGTTGTTAGCGATTGACCATCGGTGGGCTGCATCGATCGTTTGTTGGAGTGCTATACGATCCTCAGGATGTGTTGCAGTTCTCCAGATCGTAGCGTCATCCGCAAATAGCAGTGTCTTAGGCTCAGTGACATGTGGCAGGCCGTTTAAAAATGCCAGGAATGGACGAGGGCCCAGTACGGATCCTTGAGGAACCCCTCGGTCAGCGGTGATAGGCTCTGATAAAGAATCACCAACACGAACTGACATGGTTCTTTGTCGGAGAAAATCTTTGATCCAGTCCAGAAACAAACCTCTTACTCCGTAGTTGTAGAGTTTTCGCAGTAGAATTTGATGGTTTACTAGATCAAATGCCTTGGAGAAGTCCAAATAACTATATCCAATGGCTGGCCTGCATCGACGGATTTCGTCCGCTCATCTCGTGCAAGAAGTAGATTTGTGGTGCACGAACGCTTGTGCCGAAATCGGTGCTGAGTTCGGGAGAAAAGTTCATGCTTCTCCAGATATTCCATCAACAGATTTGCCACAAGAGCTCGCGTGACTTTCGGCAATATCGAAAGAAATGGAACAGGGCGGGAGTTGGCGGGATCACTGTGAGATCCCCCTTTGTAAAGGGGGGAAATCACCCCTTCCTTCCATGACTGTGGAATCACTGCCTGGTGGAACATCCTTTGGTAAAGAACAGTCAGAGGTTATTGACTGCATGTTGTCTGCTCCTGGGGATGAACTCTTACGCAAAGTTAGTAGTTTCGCTCTAACTTTCTCACTGTCAAAAGCCAGATTATCCAGTGACGGATACGGTATACGGGGTAGTTTGCTAGGAATCTGTGATGCTTCGTGTGCCGTTGCAGTAAACATCTGGTAGAGGAAGTCTGCTGCTTCTAGAGTAGTGGTTGAAACATGTCCAAACGATCTCTATGGTGGTATTCCGCGTTTCACCTTTCTTGTAAATTTGATATGTTTATAAAGCAATTTTGGATCGGAAATGAATTTTTGAGCTAGGGTTTCTTGGTACATCAATTTGCCATCTGGTACAAACTTGGTACACTGATTTCGCAGTATGGAATAATTATTCCAAGTTTCGATAGATGGACATCTTCTGTACTCACGCCAGGGAAAGTTCCTTCGCTCTATCCATTTCTTTCTTCGACTGCGAATGAATGAATGACGAGTTTTAGATTTAGAACAAGTTTTTATACTTCTTGCACCCGTTACAGTTTCGGTAAGATAATCAGTGAAGCTCCCCCGTGCTACCAAAGGATCGTGATTGTCTTCCGGGAGGACCCATTGCTTAGGTATTGCCAGGTTTTGCAGCTTTTTGTAGTCTATGATGGCACGAGTGCTACTCTTTCGATTTTTTGGGTAGATGCGTGGCCTATATAATCAAACTTCAATAAGGCATGATCACTATGTCTCAGTGGAGACGTGACATTGACAGATTCCACCATCAGCTCCTCGTTAGTCAGCGCTAAATCCAGTGCTGATAGTACGTGACCTACTCCAAATCTGGTGGGTTCTGTAACGCGGTTGTACAATGGGTGCAATCCAAACGGTTGGCGGGAAGTCCTCGTTCTGATGAAATTAGGGCAGTTGAAGTCACCCGTTATGAACACATGGGTGAAATTTGGTGATAATGCATTCCTAATGGTTTGCAACAAAATCTTGTTGGCTGAGTCTGAAGATGCGGGAAGTCGGTACACAACACCGATTAGATACCTACCGTTTTTGGAGAGTCTTAGTGAACACCATAACGAATCGGCGGCTGCGTCGGGAATATGAAGCTGTTCACACTAGATTATATCGATGATAAAGCGGCACTCCACCGCCTCGTGTAGGATGATCACGTCTGAGCATCAACATTCCTGATAGACCCATTTCCGAATCGAGAGTGTCGGTGGTCAGCCAGGTTTCAGTAAAGGCAACAATGTCAAATAGATTAGTTTTCCAACGAAGTTCTACCTCCGAGAATTTACTAAGGTAACCCCATGCATTAGTATAAAAACATGAAAGATATCTTCGGCAAAGAAATCTATGGGTATGTGGTATTGTTTCTGCCGACCAACTTGGGGTCGGCTAACATTGTTTTTCTTATAGAATTGGCTTCAACGGTGCTGCTTGGCGAACATGGAGTGATAAAAACCGCATTAGTCGAAGAATGTGGCGTGTTAGTATCGGTTTCCGTTTTCGGACTTTGCTGGGATCTAGTATTATGTGATGGTCTTAGGCGTAATTCCGGTGACTCCTCTTTCTATTATCCTTCCACGACTGCACTACGAATTTGGCCATTTCTGGCGTTCCGAGGGTCACTTTGATTATCCTCGGGCCAATCCCGTGGTAGTTCGGTGAGCTGGGTAGACAACTAATTGTCGTAGTAAGAACCTGGGTACAATTAATTAGTTCTCGAATGAAACTCCATTCGTTGCAATCGTTTTGTTGGCATAGGGATTCATCTGGATCGTCCATTTAGGGGACTCCATGAATAAGAACAACCCGTTTGTTCTCCGATTACCGTGCGTTTGTTTGGTTAGTGTCATATTGTGTACGCTCCGTCCTGGGCCTATCTAGAAGAACGGTTGTTACTCACCAGTGCAGAGGTTTTAAACCTTGCTGCAGCGAATCACACGCTGATCGTGAGTCGGATGAGGTTCGAGGTCGATTATCAAAGTAGGTTCACAGTTGAGTGATACCAGCCACAACAGAAGTGGTAGTAATCCGTTTGCAGAACTCCCTTCTGTGTGCCCAAGAACAATTTATGCAGGCGATTATGCTCCCATTACCAACCGACCCATCAACCCGCCCACACACTCCACAGATCGAGTAGTATTGGTGATCGGACGATTAAACAAACCACTGTGAGATCATTATGAATTTTTAGTTCAAATCTAT